TCCGCGGGAATTTATTTTCAGAGTTAGCGGAAGAAACACACATATATACATTTATGATACATTATTCTCAATTATAATTATACATAGTCGAGTGGTAGTATAACATTATTACAAACCTTAAAAGTCTACCACCGATATAACACAAACCGTTTCCCAAAATATAAATGTATCAAAATACGTAATTATACATGATCAGTAGTGGTACACTGCCCAGGTCTCCGATGTCCGCTCCTCGGCTATTGCTGCTCACGACTTGAAACGTTGCGTAACAACGTCCTAAGCTAATTGCAATCCGCGGGAATTTATTTTCAGAGTTAGCGGAAGAAACACACATATATACATTTATGATACATTATTCTCAATTATAATTATACATAGTCGAGTGGTAGTATAACATTATTACAAACCTTAAAAGTCTACCACCGATATAACACAAACCGTTTCCCAAAAAGTGTGTATATACGTATATGTAATTTTCTATTTTATTTTTAAAAAATAAAATTGAAATTCTGTATTTTTTTATTTTTTATTAGTTTTTAAAAAAATTCTAGAAATTTTTTATTTTTATTTTTTATTTATTTATTTTCTGATGTGATTGGATGATGTGACGAAATGTGATGATTTGGCGAATCTTAATGACTTGGCATGCCCGTCAGCATCAAAATTGACGGAACTTAACGTCGTTTACGGATATGGGGGAAATTGCAACACATTTTAAGATTTTGACATGAAATTTGGAAATATTTGAAATCCGGTGTAGTTTTTTGTTAAATTAAAAATTGGTGTAGAAAATTGGAACTTTTTTGAAAATTTGTGGGGGAATATGGGATTAACCATTTGAAATATATCTTTTTCGATGAAACAAAATGGATAATCACTCAATTTATCTAGTAAGATTTTCAAAATTAATTAAATTAAAAAATTTAGGAAAAATGGCATATAAATATCTAAACTTTTAAAAAAATCTTACATAAATACCTAGACTATAAAATTTTCTAAATACATGAATTTTTCTAAAATTCTTCATAAATACCTCGACTTTTTAAAAACTTCTAAATAAACCCAAAATCCGTTAATGACATCAATTATTTTTATTTGAAAAATATGTTCTGATATATCAACCAAGCATTTGTTTAATACCTGACTATTTAATTATATCATGATCAATGAAAAGTATAAACTGAATTTTCAAATTATATGCAACTTATTAATAAGGATTTTTATAACCTAATAAAAAAAACTGCCATGAAAGAGGATAAAATAGTTTCATCAGAATATTTCAAATTTCATTATTTATATATAAGATTTTTTAGAATATTGGGATATATAGTTTTTAAAATTTAAATATTAAAACAAAAATTTATAAAATTGTATTTTCTCCTTTTCATACGAAAAATCTTAAAAAAAGATATGTACGGGGTGGGTGTTTCGAGATTCGGTTTAAAATTTTAGCGGTTCAGTTCGAAAACGGTTTAAAATTAGTACCATATATTATTATATTCGGTTCAGTTCCGATTGCGATATGATTCAGTTTTAATTTTTGTTAAAAAAATTATATTTTATTTAAAAAAAATCGGTTTATCAGAAATCTTATAAAGCTCGTTTCAATTCGATTCGATCTTACAAAATTCAATTGTATAAAAAACACAACGTTCAAAAAATTTAAATGATACGGTGTAAGGAACCATACCGAAACGCCCACAACTAATAAATGTCGAGTGAGGAGGACACACGATCTCTTGGAGGCAATTTGTAGAGGATGTGGGGTCCATGTGACTCAGTTCCATATAACGTGAATTGCGTGGTTCTTTTGTGAACTTATATGTCTCTCCATTTATTTTTCTTATATGTCCGATATATATTGAGTGACTGGTTGCAACGCCACCAACTGCAAACAGAGCGGTTGCGATTTCTGGCGGTTGGTGGCGGTTGCGAAACTGATTGGTCAAACCGCCAAACGCTACCGCAGTCAAACTTCAAAAATCAAAACGCTGCCTTTTGGATGCGTTTCGGTAGCATTTCCATGCGTTTAAATCAAATGACCAAAATATCCTTATAACAAATTAAAAAAAAAAACTAAAACTCTCTTCATGCTCTCTCGCTTGAAATCCCCCATCTTCATCTCATCAAACCCTCTCTTCTGTATTATTCGATTATGGTTTTTCTTCGTCGGAGCTTATCGGAACTCATCATCTCTGTCGTCTTCAGGTGTGTCTCTGTTTTATTTTATTACCTTTCCTCTTTTCTGGTTTCTTCGGATTTTGTGTGAATCAAAACATTGCTCATCATCTTCGATTCAAGAACAAGGAACTGACGAGATTCTACCAATATCCAAAACAAACAAGTAATGGGTTCTGTTTTTTTTTCTTCATCAGTGATCAGATTTAGATCAGATTTTATCGTATTTTCTCGATCCGAAATCAAACATGAGGCCTAAAACCCAACAAACCTTCAATCTGAAATTTATCTTTGTGTGGCTCCTTGTTACCTTCTTCCTCAAAATGATTGATATTCATGTTTGTATTGTAGAATGAAGTTTGTTGGATAATGACAATCTCTATCATGTCCTGAATGTGTTCGGTGAAATACCTGAACGAGATGTCGTTACCTATAAAGTGATGATAAAGGGCTTGTCCTTGTTTGATTGTCTTGTGGGTCTGTTTATTTACCAAAGTGTTTCAATTGAATTGATTAACGAGGTGTGAAACATATTAATTACGATTAATTACGAATAATTTAAAAAAATATTTTAAAATAATATCCTTTTTGGTAATTTATATCAAAACGCAACTGCAATCGTTTACAACCATTCACTTTTACTCGCAGTCAACCGCAATCGCCACCACCAGTCACTTACCAACCATTCAGTATCAACCGTCCACAATCGCTACCAAACATTCTGAAAACGCTATCACCCGCAACCGCAATCGCTGCGGTACAATCAGTCAGGTCCATAATCTCGTAACTTTTTGAATATTCGATTTTATCCCCTTAGTCCGATATGTGCACAAAAAGCCCACATGATTTGTTGCACCGTGCTGTTTTTTTTTTTTTTTGATAAGATCAGTGGTTACTGGTTGATATGGTTCGTGCAGTTAAAGCCAACAGAACAAAAACACGAGCAAATAATTAATTAGAGGAATATGAGCGGCCCATAGGGATAGCAGTGGATGTCTTGGGCCACCTCACAAACTTGAGAGTTCTGAACCTAATGGGATCTGCCAGTGTCTCCTCTCTAGAAATAGGTAAACCTAGTTTGTTTTTTCATAGATTTGATCATACTTCCACGAATATAAACTTTTAATAAGATTAAAAAAAATGTAAATTTTGTAATTACATACGATATGTTTATATGATTTTCAAATTTTGACGTTATTTTTATTTTATAAACAAATTATTTATTTTTAAATTCCTTTAATATATATAAAAACTGTAATAATACGTATAATCAACTTTAAAATTTGAAAGAAACCAAGTGTTTGTAGGTGGTAACCTTATATAAATATTGAAATTTAAAGTTTTGATATATATATATATATATAATTTTGAAACAATATTAGTTTATTACTATATTCCACCATATA